AGTATAGAAACATATGTAGCTATTACTTATTATTCACATATGATAAGTATATTACTGAACATTTACAAGTTACTGGTGCAAATATTATCAATCAAAAATGATTTACACTGACTGACTCATTCCAGACTAAAACATAATGATAATAGTTTCAGATTAAGAAATTCCTCATGCATATATCACACCCCCAGTAGTTACCCCCAGAGCCCAGCCTCCTCCCTGTGGTCTGCCAGGAGCCCCCAGAGCCCAGCCTCCTCCCAAGCAGTCTCTGGGTGCTGTCCATGTACGGCAGGGATATCCTCTCCCACATGGACCATATCAAGGCCTTGGACTCAACCAAAAAGGTCAAATATAACGCGACTGTGTATTTGATTTCCATGTTTGTTAAACTCTCTTATAAACAATAACATTAAAAACTAGTTTTTAATTAAATGTGTTCGGTTGTAAATCTGGAAATATTAACTGCTATAGATCATTTCTAATAAATGCCTCAACTTCGCTGTCGTCACATTCCAGATCACAAAGCATCAAAGCAAGGTGGAAGATGGCAGCTCTTCCCTGCTCCAACCCTCTTGGCCCTCAGTTGAAGATGCAGACTCTTCCCCTGCTCCACCTCTGGCCCCTCAAGATGGAAATTGCAGCTCTTCCCTCCGCTCCACCTCTGGCCTCAGTGGAGATGCCAGCTCTTCCACTGCTCACCCCTCATGGCCCATAGTTGGAGATGCAGCTCTTTCCCTGCTCCAACACCTCCTTTGGCCCTCAGAAATGGAGATGCAGCCTCTTCCCTGCTCCCACCCTCTGGTTCCACAGGGGAGTTATATGTGTGGTGTTGAATCTGACTTCACTGTTATCCATCATCTCTAATAATGCCTCCAGCTTCGCTGTTGTCACACTTCCCTGATCACACAGCATCAGATCCTCGGTGGTGTTGCAGCGTCTTCTCTGATCCCACCCTCAGCTCCTCAGTTGGTGATGCAGCTCTTCCCTGCTCCACCCTCTGGTCTTCAGTTGGTGATGCAGCTCTTCCCTGATCCCACCTCTGGTCCTCAGTTGGTGATGCAGCTCCTTCCCTGCTCCACCCTCAGGTCTTCAGGTGGAGGATGCAGCTCTTCCTGATCCACCTCTTGGGTCCTCAGGTGGTGTATGCAGCTCTTCCCTGATCCATCCTCAGCGTCCTCAGGTGGTGTTGGGCAGCTCTTCCCCTGATCCACCCTCAGCTCCTTCAGGTGGTGTCGCAGCTCGTTCCCTGCTCCACCCTCAGGTCTTCAGGTGGAGTTGCAGCTCTTCCCTGATCCACCCCTCAAGTCCTCATGGTGGTCGTTGGCAGCTCTTCCCTGCTCCACCTTTGGGGCTCCATGATATATACACCAGTGAAGCTCACAGTTTCCTGTCCTGGTCGCTGCTCCACAGGCTCTGAATGCCAGCCTCTCTCTGCTTTTCCTGCTCCTAGTCCTGCTCCTGCTCCTACAGCCAAGTCACTGAGCCGGCAAAGTACTGCCCAACACGTGTGAAGGTGTGGGAAGGTTTGGGACAGCGGACATTGGACACTGCCAGTACAGGAGTAGTGCATACATTGTGCCAAAGGAGCAATGGTTGGAGGACATAACATAATGTCGATATCCCCCATAGACATGACATCAGATGAACTACTTATGTATAAAGTCTGGTCGTATTGTTTGCACCAATGTCCCTCTGGATACACAACGTGTTCTCGCGCCTCCCCATGGGTTCTCATACTCGTTTGCAATCTACTATTTAGATTTATGTTAAAACTTTGGATGTGGTACGTCTGCCTTGAGGAGTTCTGTAGATTGAGAATCAGTATGAATATCCTGGCTGATTCAGTCTGACCTTCTCTCCTCCTTCTATAGGCTTTGGATACCCTATCTATTCATCTCCCAGCCAATAGCATCTGCACCTTCCAGTTGCTCCAGCGTCTGAATTGGGTTCCTCTGCGTGCTTCAAATAATTTTATTCCTCCACGTTCGTAGTCTCAGACTCTTCTTCCAGCTCACATGCGGGGATCATGTGTCTCATGGTTTTGACTGCCTTAATATCTAGGGTTCAGTTCTAGGAGACGCTGTCGTCCTGAGGCTGTAAGGCTTCTCTCGCTCAGTCAGCTTATCGTCGAAACGACTTCTGCCTGTTATGTTATGGGGTCTGTTTCTTTTACCCTCTCCATGTTATTAAGTTGTGACACTTAGCTGTCTCAAATAATAAAGGTTTGGTTCTAATCAATGTAGGTCGCTCGTGTGAGCCGGGCGGTGATACACATTGATAAGTCTTGTCCGCCCATCTGGTATTGACTGATTGTTGCAAGGGCGTTGTCGGTGGGTTGGTCTTTTGTGAGGATAAGGTGTTTGTTGGATTTGGTGTTTCTTGTTTATTAGATATGCTTGATATATGGTTTTGTCGCTTCTCGTGTTGGTGTTGTTAAGCAAGATGGGAAGGCCGGGCTGAGGGTCAATCGTCATCGTCGTCGCCATTGGTCGTTGCGGCGTTGTCAAGTTGAGGGATATCTGGGGAGGCCTAGAGGTGAACGCTTTCTTCTCTGTCGAGGTCTGTGAGGTGAAAAAGTAAATGATTGTTTGAAAATAATGGTAAAACAGGAAAAGGGGATTTAGGCACATTGGGAAAAATGTATTGAGATCTGATAATCTCTTCTAAACCATAATGTTCTTCAGAATTCAAGACTATTAATCTCCTATGAGATATTTATTCTCAGATATAAGCACTCGGCAACTCACCGTTCTAATTCTATTAGTTCAAATATATACTTGAACTATGTATTATGGTTTCGTAGTATCTGAACTTTAATCTCGCCAAGATTAACAAATACTATAGTACTATTACCTTTTGTCAAAACGTTTCCGTACGTAGAGAAATTTGACACCAATGTTGCCCAAATAGTATTCACTTTAGGCTTAGTAGAGACATTTAATTTAGTGTAAGTCCCTTTACTTTGGGTCACTATCTATATTTGATCAGTAAGCTCAATTGATTCTTTAATTAAGGAATGTCATCATTCAGGTAAACAAGGACAACAAACTCCAGTAACAAGGAGACTTAGAAGATGTGTCTCAGTGCTAGTGATAAAAGAAAATTATATATCTATAATATATTTATTGATATTTAATTGTACAAGCTTGATAAAGACTGGTTTATAAGGGTAGATACCAGTGTAATAAACATATGAATATTATTAGAATATATAATATTAAATAGAAA